CCCCCCCCCCCCCCCCCCAAGTCTACAGGATAAGGGGAGAAGCTGCCAGGTCTCTGGAAGGGAGTTTTTTTTATGGCCTCACAACTCCTAGTCCCCAGAAGGAGTTAAGCAAGGGGAAAGTGTGCAGACTTTTGCTCCTGAGAACACTGATTTAACCCTGGTTGTCTGTGGAGCAATTATAATTTTTCCACGAGAAAAAGCTTGAATTTCTGCACATCTTGTTTTCTATCAGGACAATGATGATTTTCCCGTGAAAAAAGAGTGTCTGTGTGTAGCCTAAATCAACAACCAAGATATCCCTTCTGTAAGTATTTGCAACTATTACTTTTTCTGAAATACACATCTCATATATTACCTAAATGAAAACACGTACCTGATCAGATTTTAATAGTACCATTTCATCCAAGCTTGTTTGGGTCATATCCTGGGATGTAAGATTAGCACCCATTTCTGTCACACTTGTTTCTGAAGACGAATAAGGTAACCCGTGCCCATAAATATCCTCTTCATCGCTTGATGCTGATTTCTCAGTCTTGCTATCATGGATAGTGGTTACCCATTCAGCAGCTTCAGTACTAGATTTAACTTTGACCGCACCTTTCAAGGCAAATCCAGAAACAGCAGTGTCTTGTGCACATAGATCATTCTTAGAGAGATCAGACCAGGGAGCTGTAAGGTTCTCTGAGGCAGTGTTCATTAGAGTAAGTTTCTGCTGCTTCTCCCTGCTGTTTTCATCACTTCCTTTTTGTGTCAGTGATTTTTCAGCACCACATGTAGTATTAAACACTAAAGACATTTGGCCTGTGAGGTTTGTTTCTGCAAAAATATTTTCAGTATCCTCCAGATTTATTTCCCCTAAAGTTTCTTCTGCTTTACACAGTACTGTAAAATCTTGCTGCTCCTCTTGGGTTAACTGTTCAGAAATGCATTCAGTTTTCACATAAAACAGACTCTGATTGCATTCTCTATCAATACTCTCTGCCGAATCTTCTGAGAGTAGTAGGGGAGAACTGGATAGCAACATATCTGTAACAGTAGGTGTACCCATTCCACTATCACTCTGGGGAAGTTTGAGCAAGTCAGTTTTATCTTCATTTCCTTCATACATTGTTGAAGTCACAGACACAGGAGACTGAAGCACACTGAACGTTTCCGAGCTATTATCCTCCTGTAATACACTATGTGACTCTACACTGAACACACTTTCCTGATCTGGAGAACCTGTGCTCAAATGATCTATACTACTGCTCATTAGGCTAGAAGTCATGGAAAATGAGTCTGCATTTAAAGAATGTGGACTGTCACCAGAAAACTGATGCTCATAACTTGGCATACCTTCAAGAGAGCTGTGATTTTTCTTGGTCCCATTTTCTGATCTCACAAAATGAAAAAAAGAAAGAAAGAAAGAAAAGGAATATTTCTTTATCAGACCTATTCATTTCAGTGCGGACAAAAAATTTGAATTATTTTTGTTAAAAAAAACAAAGAGGTGTTAATATTAGTAGCATAAAAGAATAATAGAAACTAGACTCACTAGAACGCTGTCACTTCTCGAGGGGGCAATACATTCACTGATGTAAATAAGGACAAAGGACAGTGCTTCTTAACCTTAGTGCCATGATTCACAAGCTAAACCTTGAGGAATCTATAGTGTCAAAAACATTCTGACCCACTGTTGTCTTCCTGAGTTCTTTGCAATGAAAAATTGCTCTTTTATTTTTCCGCAGTCAAAATACAAGTGAAAACAAACATATGGAATTTTTCAAGGGGTCCCTCAAGTTTAATGAGGAGTGCTTCAAGTCTAAAAAAGCTGAGAACCACTGACATAAGAGGCTGGTAAGTGGCCAGCTATTTACATAATATTGTCTGACTAGGGGCTTTAATATTGGCTTCTTGAAGGCTCAGATCAAGTTTAGTATCCAAGCAGTTAAGAATCCTGATACCCTTACTACATTAAGTAAAAATTAACAATATGGATATGGATTTGTTCTTAGGTATATAAAGAAATACTTTACAATGCATTACAGCAGCCAAAAAAGTGTTTTTTACAGCTACTAATAAAATAAAGTAAAAAAATAGTTACATATAAAATATTTAAAATTAATAAAGCTATTTAAACAATCTCCAACTTGAACAGAAGTGAAGCAGACTGAGTAATTAGCATTAATCCTTTTAATAGCTAGCACTGTTTTTCCACTTCTTATGTTATAAATAATATAAAAACAAAGTTAATGATTAGTAACAGCAGCATTAGAAAAAAAATGTCACAGATTTACCTTGTCTCTTCTTTTTTTTCTTTTTTACTTTGATGGGCTTTACAATCAGTTCTTGGTCAAAATCTTCAGAGCTAATTATACTGAACCGTTGTGAAGAAGGCTGGCTCTCTCTCTGAGCTTCACTTGATGTGTGGTCTGCATATGTCATGAGACTAGAGCCACTGTCCACAGAATTTATTGAACTGCTCCTGCTTCTTGATTCACTGGCTACTGAACAGCCTCTTTTTCTCGTTTCACTGCTGAAGTCATTCACTTTCTCAATGCTTTTCTCCACTGTGATTTCCAAATAATTTTTTGCTATAGAATCAGAGTCATTTTTATCAACAGTAATTTGGGAAGAAGAAACCATTATGTTTTTTTCTGTCTCCACTGAAGGGTCAGATGATACAGGTGTCAGTACTGACAATGGGGTCAGCAATTTGGGACTCAAATCTGGTAATGGACTCAGCAATTTTGAACTTGAATCTGAACCAGAAAGGGAAAAAAGGGAATACTGAAACGTGTAAAGTTTATTAATAAAGAGCTGTTGGAAAGCATTCAAAGAAAGGTGGGAATTTGTTCCTCAAAATACATTGCTAAAACCTACAACATTACAGCATAATACATCTGCAAAATGTAATGTAACTAGATTTATATTGAAACATTGTCATTTGTACAGTAGTGCAATTCATGCTCTGATGCCTGCATTAACTCACAGTAGCGTAACTAAGTTTGTGCCTACGTATCAAAAGTAATACAGACCATAAGTTGAAGGCCCAACTACATGAAATGCTGAGTGTGTTTTGAGGAATCAGGCCCCTAACTTTTAATTTATCATTTAAACCACTCTGGCAAATTCAAAGAACAGCACTGAAAACATTAGGAGTGAGTCACACAAAGCACCTACAAGTAAAACACTGCTTACACGACAAAATTATTATTCCATGGACATCATGGATTTAAAAACAGTCTCTAGAATTTGTAGAGGCTTTGTTATAGATTTACTAAAATTGTGCTGTTGTTGGGCAGAAAAGTTTAGACATACAGAAAGTATTAAAACAGCTTAAATGATGCTTAAATGACAGCTTAATGGATCTCTAGCACAGGCTGCCTCCCCTTCCTCCTCCCTACCCCCTCTGCAACCAGATACCTGTGTTTACCATGATCCCCAACCCCTCTGCAGCAAAGGTAACTGCAGACAGGGAGAAGCAGCAGGCTTTGCAGCACAGTGCAGCTCTGTGTAAATGACCCATCCCCCATGCCACACAAGACATTTGTGGTCTGTGTTCTGTCCACAGGCCATAGGTTGCCACACCCTGCCCTACAGATGACCATTTCCTAGGCTATGCTATACTGATAGCAACACTGCATCAACAGAAGATACTGGGTTGAAGATTCTTTTCATCCAGTATTTATGATCCCTTCCCATACTAATGCCAACTTTTGCTGGTCTAAAGCCTCACTCTCCAACACATTAAAAGAAGAAATTAACCAAGGCTGCCATTAACAAAACACTGCCAAACCTTTCTAATGAAGATTAGTAGCATACCAAACAGATATTGACCCCAGTTTTGAAATCAAAGCAAGTAACAACACACTAGTATATGTAAATCCCCTTAGATTATTTTCAGGCCATTAAAATATCTAATGGGCATGAACCAACAATTCCACTTCTTATTAAAACCTGATATCCACTGCATGAACTGGGAGACTATTTTGGGCCACTCTGGCAACAAGTCATAAACAGTGCTTGGAACATTTCAGAAAAGAGATGCGGGATAACTAAAATGCAGTGTGCTGCAGCATCCTGATATGGAATAGAGTTGCTTGGGGACTAAGCTAGAACACATCGCAGGTCTGAATCAATGCTGATCCACTCTTAGAAGTAGAGAGCTATGGCTGAAACTCTTAAAATCCAGACTATTTCACCTGCAACAAGCAGAGACTTGGTTTGGTAGATCATTTAGGATTTAAACAAAAACAACCCAAAACACTCTTCTCCTTTAATAAATTCTATAGGTGGCATAATTGTAAAATTACAATTGTACAATTATGTGTTTACCCTTTTCACATGATTATACGTAAAGAAACAGTACAAGAACATCGCTATGCATCACTTTCTGTAAGACACAATAAATTTTAATAACAGTACAAACCTATTGATGCTAGTCCTTCAGGTCTACTTGATATTCTTATTATGTCTCTATCTCCCTTAAGAAGAAAAATCTCATTGCTGGTACAGGACACGGACACAATATCACCATAGCCTTCCAAACCACCAATCAAAGCCTATAAAAGAAATATAAAGAACATTAATCAAAAGGTTTTAAACTACTAAGCTGTAAATATCAGATAGTCTTTAGGATGCTTACTTTTGATTAAAAAGTGTAATTCAATTTAAGAATAGCTATACAATCAGAAAAAAAATGTAAACAAACTCCAGGCCAAAAGGAATGATCTGCGAATGGATAAAGAAAAGCAGAAGACAGAAGAAAAGAACAGATGGAAGATGAACTCAGCCACGAGGTTTAATCATCAAAAGCCACGCTAAATAAACTGCGATAGGGGATTTACACTGTATAACAGATTAGAGAGTTTGTGAGAAAAATGATATTGTCATGATTTCCAGAAATGAGTGGAGAATGTGCACATGTAATAGCCTAAATAAAAGACTATTTTCAGCAACACTGAGCACCAACAAACTTAAGTTCTCAGAACTTTAATGATGCCCCTAAACATGAAAGAAAAATAAGTTATTCCACCAAAAGAGATCTAATCATAACTTTGCACTATTGTGCATATGTGAACTCATCAGCCTGATGAGGCATCATTCATTTTTTCTGCTCAGAGCAGCCAGAATTGATCCCTTAAATCTAAAAAGGCAATCTGGTGAAGGAGAAGAGTTCTAACACACATTTAAGAGTCTCTAACAAAACCATAAAGAATGTGACCTGACACTAATGACACTGTACTGTCCCCTTTTGGCCATCTTTTAAACCAGAGAGATTTCTGATAGCCATTTTCACAGAGTAAGGAGAAATTGGGTTTTGGCTTGTTTAGTTTTTCTTTATTGTAAGATGTGATCAGAAGAATGGAGAGAAGAAATAGTTCCAGTTATATTTTATATAATGACAACTTTCTTTAGCTTTGTGTGCACAGCTATAAAGTCTACTCAGATACAAGTATAAATTCTAGACCTGTGTATATTTGTTATGGATGTAGAATGCACTTTAGGCAGCTAGTTTCCATACAATAGTTGCTGTTAGGCAGTTACTTTCCATACAATAGTATACTAGATAGCTAAAGTTTACAGTCTAACACAGGCATTAGCAAATGTCTAAATTTGCAGACCAGGTGCTTGTGACCTGGCTACTACTATGGGTTGTTGATCCCCTATTCTCCTGCTACTCCAATCCTTCCCCATGTCCTGCATCACCCCCCACCACTCCCCACCCTTTACCTGGCACTCCCAAAAACCAAGGAGACTGTCACTAGGGAATATAAAATTCAACAGTGAGAACATGGAGCCAGAAGCTCCTCTCTTTAAATTGTACCCCACCCCCCTCTACCTCAACCAAATGAGACCTTCACAGGCAAGGTCCAAGCTCTTCAATGGTCGGATTCAGCCTGTGGGACACAAGTTGCTGACCCTTGGCCTAACATAATTATCATCACTTATCTATCTTGTCTATGACAACCCTAATGCAATGAGAAATCTAAGGAAAAGAAAAGCAAACACTAGGTTTTAAATTGTTTCTTAATAATCTTTTAGGTCAGGACACATTAAAAGACACATGCCCAAGGATTAACATTGATATGACTGAAAACCGGTAAGCAGTCAAACATATATCCATTAGTTGTACTCACCTGGTTCACAGTGTCTAGTAAATAGATACTATATTCATTCCAACTCAACACCCAACCTTCCTGGAAAAAGCATGAAACAAGCCCAAGGTGTTTCCCTGGGAAGCTGTAACTTGCTCTGTCAGGTGACTCCAGCCGAGGATACAGTTCAAAAGGTTTAATTCCTCCAGCAAATACCTCTTTTAAAATAAACGTGGCCTGCACAGTTCCATGCACATCAGACTTCCAGAGGCGGAGGCCAGGTCTAGCAGCAAACATTGTCAGGTCACTTTGCTTACACAGTCCAGGGATAAAACATGCTCCAAACTTACCAGAGCTAGAAAATAAACAAACAGCTTTTCAAAATACACGCGTAAGTAAAAACCTGAAAAAAGGAAAAAAAAGATATTTAACTAGAGTTTACAAACACACACTGACCAGAACACCACTTCCCTTTGCTTTCACCAAAACTCTCTGACTTTGTTGTTTCTAACACACGAGTTTGTTTAGACCAGTGCTGTCCAACTGGCCACCCCCAGGCCACATGAGGACCCAGGTTCTGGGTCAGGGTCTGTGTGGTGTGGAAGGAGATGAGGACAGGAATGGGGGTTCATGTGGCATGGGGCAGGGAGCCATGCAGAACTGCATGCAGCCTGGGGGAGCGAGGCCAGCATGGCATGTGGCCGGGGGAACCTAAGGCATCAGCCATTCAGAAACTGGACAGCTCTTAATTAGACTAAAATGAGACAGTGGTGGGGGACAGAGAGAGGGGTCAAACTCATCCAGCCCCACAGGCCAGATGAGTGACACAGGGCTTGTTCACGGGCCAGACTGGGCCTACAGATCAGTCCTGCATGCTGGATCCAGCACATGTCCTGGAGCAGCCACAGCAGGTGTCACATGCAGTGCAGTCCTGCTTCAGCCACTCCAGCGTTGTGCTGTGCACAGCTGCCACTCACCCACTCTGCCCTTGGAGCACAGAACAGCACGAAGCTGCTCCAGGGCTATGCTACACATGGTGGCCCCTTCACTACTCCAGGATGCATGGTGGAGAGGGTGCTATGTGCAGCACAGTCCTGGAGCAGGTGCCACTATCTGGTGCACCCCACATGTTGCCCGTGGGTCATCTCGAAGACCAATGGGCAGCACGAAATGCTGGATGATAGGGCTCTCCTGGCTGGATCTGGCCTGCGGGCTTTATCTTTCATACCCATGGACTAAATCGAGGATGAAGGCTCAGAAACACTGTACACAATTCCCTCAACATTAGGGGAAGTGTGAAGTAGGAAGAGAAAAAAATCCTCCCGTTTTCTCTCTCAGCAGCAAGGATGCTCTTCTCACCCATGCAGTAAAAGAGATTATAGTGATTTTTCCTACTGCAAAATAACCTGTACTCTGTTTCCACTTGAGCTAGGACATACTGACCTTTCAACTGACCTGCAAATCACTATAAGTGGTGCTGGCTGACTCCTGGCATCTGCCCATTAGGAACAAGGGAGAGGCTTCAAACTCTGAACTGCATTGAAACAGTACTGCAACCACTAGGACAATCCCCCTTTACAGAACTAATATGATTATAAAAGTTGTTTTAGTGTTACTATTTGTTTGCCTAGTGCACATATACACTAAACATCCCTTCAACATTCAAGGAATGTCCTCCATACTGCATAAACATATCTAATCATTGATAGCATCATGCAGTTCTAAGGCTGCTTGCTTTTCTCCTTCCACATTCAATACATCTTACAAAAGACATACCAGGGAACTATAAGCATGAACTATAAACTGGGGTCTTTCCTAATTGTAAAACCAAAGCTGAAAACTTTAGCAAGCTTCCACACAGAGATCAAATCATAATTTTGCTCCATTGCACATATTAACATACCAGCATGAACAAGGCCATACAATCTCATTCATTTTTCTCTCTCAAGAAGGTAGGGATCTACCTCTGTACCTTTTTATTATTAAAATTGTCCCTAGAAAGTGAGATTACCCTTTGGCTATTTTAGACAGAAATCTTAAATGTCATGCACAGAACTGAACCGTCTTTGAACATTATATATTTGTTTTGAGCCACAGCAACTTCCAAGATGCGAAAGGAAGTAAAAACAAACACACAACATTTCAGTTTAAATATCTCTGTCCAGTTAGGTGTCCAAGGCCTGGTGGCTTACACATTTGCAATCAATACCATCCAACACAACAATAATCTTATTTTATAAAGAATAATGGAATGAATAAAAATACTTAAGACTGTTCTTATGACCTTTTATGGGTAGATATTAGTGTAAGTGCCTGCAGTGACTGACTAGCACTGAGCAGAAAATTATGCTTTGTTAATTTTCCTGCTCAGACCATTCTGTCTCTTCAGTCTATTCTGAAGAGCTACATATTAACAGATGTGCTTGCATTAAGATTTTATGAGAGTTACTTTTTTCTGGACTGTGTTCCAACTTGCTTGACAGATTTTTCTTCTGTGTAAAAAAGCAAAGTTCTCTGTAGGGTAGATACCAACAGCACCTTCTGACTGTAATCCAACTGCACAATTGAAGATAGCTCTTCCAATACCAGACTGGAGTTGCAAACGCCCTTTTAAAAGAGAATAAAGACAAAAGTCAACCCTTTTCTGAATTAAAATATCTGGTAGTGACTGGTTACTAAGCACACTGGTTCTTTCAAGTATTAATATGGGGATAAAAGAAGTCTGAGCTATTTGAATAATTTTCTTTTGAAATCCACACAAGAAATTTCCAATTAACTGACTTATCCGTGGTCTGTGTGGATTATGCATATAGATAGCATCACAATATATATTTCATCCCAGGTTGCAATTCTAGCTACCATAATTGGTTTCAGTTCTAAGGGAACTCTGAAATACAAGCTTCTGCACACTTACTCCAATGGACGGGATCACAGAAGCATGAGATACTGATTCAATTAGTGGCATTAAAATCCTCCACAGGAGAGTCAAGGTTACATCAGGAATAACAAAAATCACAAACTTTTTTCTCCTTAATAGCTGTAAGTTAAACACCTGTTATCTCAATTTAACTGGCCAAGGCCAACCTGCTTAACCTGCATGTTCTTTACAATCCCTTAGAGAAAGATTAGATTTGGCAGCAGCATTCTGCAGTAAAGGATCCCAAACTAATTTTAATTCTACACCCTAAGCTACTGAGCTTTGCATAGCTGCCAGAAAAGGATGAACTTGATCACTAAAGCAGTAGCAGGCTTTCCAGCAAAATAAAAAGGGGAGCTGGTTAGGGTCTAAAGGAAATTCCAGCAAGTCCTTTTGGACAAATATGGTGGGTATGACTGTAAGTGCAGGGTGGGGAAAAAGTTTATGTAAAAGGAGATAACAATGGAAGCAGGTGACCACTCAGTTGTAATGAAGAATCCCTACATAATACCATAGGATACAAGGAAGTAAATATTAGCAGCTCATTACACCTTTATGTGTATTGGTATTGGCTTTCTTTCATAAAATCAAAGGCAGAAACTATCACACCAAAATCTAGATTTACCTGATCTAGATCCAGTAAAGAATAGACAATTTTTCCTTTGTCATCTCCAGAGAATAATTTCATTCCATTAGGACTCCAAGCCAAGGCTGTGATACTACTTTTGTGGATACCAGCCACATCAAATCTCCGAAGCTACAAATTGATGCAATGGAACACAAGAAAGAATAGGGAAAGGGAAGGAGACAGATACTGCGCTTATTCAGTGATTCAATTTAAACTTCCATCTTTATATGACAAAACTAAGGCCATTTTTCATGCTGAAGCAACAATGCTATTTGGTTTTTGTGATATACCAAGTCATATATGAAACCATTTTTGATCAAGCATACCCTGTTTATTCAACTACATTCTTTATTAAAAAGAAATTCTTTCATAAATTTAAACACATACATATTAATATATTTGCAAGATATTTCATTAGGCACACATTTCATAGCCCTCACTAAAAAGTGCAAAAATCACTCTGTAACCATGTTTTAGGACCACTACCATTTAACATCACAGAAATTTACCCAAATTTAACATTTACCTGTTTGTTTCTTCCAGGCAATGAAGAAACAAGCTGGAAAATGGCTACTCGGCCTGAGGCTGTACCAATAGCAACAAGATCATCAAAACAGCTCAATAACTTTACAACAGTAATAGATTCAGACTTCCCCTGTTGAGAAGGGAGGCAGAAAAGTTGGCAAATTAGTAAAAAACTTTTCCTGAGGAAAGATCTGAACATTCTATTTTCAAACAGCTGCTGAAAAAGCTCTGATAAATCTTCTATAATAAACCAAGACACAAAATGTAGTATTTACCTCAAAATTATATTTTTTCATCTGGTTTAGGTGTCTGCAGTAGAGATAAAGCATCCCAATGCTACTGCCTACAGCAATGTAGTCCCCATTGGTATCAAGTGCTGTGAGGTACACCAAAATGGAGCGAAATCCTTTTTGGACTTTTGTAGGAATGGCATTGAGGAGATAATACAAGGGGCAAAACTCCTTAAATGTAACTGGTGAAGCCACAGAAGCCATGGCAAAAGTTGGTATCAGCAGCCTGTGACCTGGAATATACACATCTGGTTCACAGTCGAAAGTAAACTGAAAAACACGAAGCAACTTATTAACATTTCCTCTTTTCAAAGGAGTTATCAAAAGTTAGTTAAAAGGTAGGTACTGTATAAGGAAAATAACATTCGTAGTATAGAAGCAACAGCCAAGTAAAAGAGAAATTCTCACGTTGGCACCAATTGTTCAACAGACCAAAACATTTCACTTCAAACTCAGCCAGTCATATCAGTATCAAACTAGGTACCCTGAATTTATTTATTTGTTCAATGTATATGCCACCCATCCCAGCAAAGGCAGCTCACAATAAGAAAACAGAATAACTTAAAAACAGGATAGTGACAGAAGGACCAAAACAACTTAAAAGGGAACTAGAACATCGAGATAAAACAACAGCTCACCCTAGTTTTGTCTGGTAAATGCTAACAAAATAGGAAGTTACTACAATATTTCCAAAAGATGTCCAGACTCAGGCTCTGGTGAGCTTCAAGCAAGAGGGACCTCTGGAGGCGAAAGCCAACAGCCAAGAACAATCTCCCACCAGTTTTTGACAAGTGGACTTGGCATACTGATGGTACTTGCAGGAGGTTGCTCCTGGCTGACCTTAGGGATTGCGATGAAGCGTAAGAGAGAAGGTTGTCCCTTAGGTGTCCAGGGCCCAGACTGTGTCCAGGCTCAAACACAACATTTCATTCTCAACAGACAGAAAAGCATAAACTGGCTGTATAGAACACATTCCTATTTGGGACTTGAAAAAAAATTCAAATGGATCAATTTCAACAAACATGATTCGCATTGTATGGCACCAAAAAAAAATCATAATTGGAAAACCCCCTATCTGTTAACATTGGGTTCAATCAAGAGAGTGCTGAGAGCTCTCAGTTTCCAGTTGCAACGTAACAGGACACTCGGCAACTTGTAAAACAGACCTTTTTACTCTACCATGGTATCATTTATGCCCAAATTCTTAAATCTTTCTCAAAATTGAAATAAGATAGGAAAGACCACAGTTTAGATGTGTATCTAATAGTTTGCAATTAAACATGAATATTCATTTTTTACAATAATTATGTGGACAATGCAAAAGAGAAGAAACTCAGTTTGACAGCCACATGTAGATATTCCTTTGGGGAAAAATGGGAAAGTCCTAAATAAGGTATACATAAGAAGAGTGAGGTAGGTAGCTGTGGTAGTCTGACATTAGGCAGAAGGCAGAGCAGGGTGACACCAGGGTGAGACTAACTCATTCAGAGAGGTGAGCTTTTGGAGACTACAGCCTACTGGTATCTAATGATACAATAGACTGTAGCCAATGAAAGTTCATGCCTCTGAATAAGGTAGTTTATAAAGTGTCACCCTGTCCTGCCTTCTGCTAAGAATTTCCTGTTACAGTTAGCTGGTTAATGTCATAGTGAGGCAAGAGGCATTCGGTGCACAAGAAGCTTGTGAGAGACGGTGGTATCTTCTCAGCAATATAGCAAAGAAAAGCCACAGTCTGCTTTTCTTGAGGATAAAAATGTAATAGGATCTCATTGTAATAACGGTTTCAGAAAACAGAGGGAAAGGCATTCCCCCTCATCAAGGGGCATACAAAGATATGAAATGATGCAATTACAGACTGAAAACTCTTTCATTATGGGATCACAACCTTGACATGACTCTGTTGAGGCAGCAGCTATTCTCCACCTACAGGATGTTAAAAGACAGGAAGGAACTGAGAAGTTTGCCGTTTTTTTAACTTCATTAGATTAGGGACTAGTTTGATTAATAAAACAGACTTCATGCAAGTAAAAATAACTGCAATTTTCAGAACCATGGACTTGAATTTCTAGAGAGTTAAAAGCAAACCCAGAATTACAACTGTGAAACTCAAAGTGCAGTAAGTAGTTCAAATTAGAGAGCTAAAAACAACAACAGAAACTGGATTTTAAAAAGTTAGGAATACTTCTAAAACAAGGGTAGGCAAAATGTGGCCTGTGGGCCAGAAGCGGCCTGCCAGGCCATTCTATCCAACCCGTGGGGCCCCTAACAATTTTAGAAAATTAATATTTATCTGCCCTGGACTGCCTGTCATGTGGCCCTCGATGGCTTGCCAAAACTCATTAAGCGGCCCTCCACCCAAAATAATTGCCAGCCCTTGTTCTAAAACTTTAACTATTCTATGAAGCAATTCTGTTATCATGACTGTATGCTATGTACTTGATTGTTTATATATATTCTTTGAGGAAAGGAAATATTATTTGTTTGGAAACACCATGCACAGTTTACAGTTTATGTATCCTTCCCAGTTTTAATATCTCCATTGCAGTGAATAGCTCAGGTCTCTGTTTTCAAACTGTTGCATCATTTAGTTTCCAACAGATTTCAGTGCATCAGCTTTTGTCCCTGCAACACTTGCTTTCAACAGACAGCCCCTGGGGGATTCAAGAGAATGACTTACAAGATCCCCTTGTCAGCTGAGTCTGACAGTGCCCTAAATTAGATGGAACAGCATTAGTCAGAGTTGGAAGACTGGGCCCAAAATTTGACCTACGCACTGTCAACTGGGAGGGATCTACCTCAGCTGTTCTGCAACTAGTTTACTGTCTAGCAGAGCTTACCTAGAAAATATGTGACACTGTACAGACAGTGCGTGGTGCCCTGCTGCACCCACACCATGGGGCAGCTGTCACATGGGTACCAAATGGAGGGGGGGGGCGATCCCCACTGCCCCATGCTGCGTGGGGGGGGGCTCAAGCACCCAGCCACAAGCACCCAGAGGCCCCAGTCGCCACTCCTGCAGCTGGTCAGTGTGGGGCTTTTTTTTTTTTTTTTTTTTTTTTTTTTTTTTGTAAAGTGCCAGGAGGCTGAGGCCAGGCAAGGCAGCCATGGGGGCTTCTCCCGCATTTCCTCTAGCTGTGCCTGCCTCTTTCCTGGCGGGGAAAGATGTGGGGCTATGCCCTGCTGCTGCTTGCCCAGCTGGTGCAGGAGGGGGCATGATGCAGGTGTGGCTCACTCCAGGAGGCAGCAAGGCATAGCCCCACCTCCCAGCACTGCCCTGCCCTGCCCACATCAGCACTGGGAGCAGAGGTTCTGCCCTGCCGCTGCTTGCCAGCCGGCATGGGAGGCACAAAATGCGGGCACGGCAGCGCTGGCAGTAAGGGCTATGCCCTGCTGTCACTTGCCCCCTTCTGCCAGAAGCGAGCTGCACCTGCATCCTGTGCCCCACGCACCAGATGGGCAAGCGGCAGCAAGGCAAAGCCCCCACTCCCAGCGCTGCCATGCCCACCCCCTGTCTACCTACCACTGACTGCCCTGCACCTCCCTTCGGCCTCTACAGCCTCTCTCTCCCCCCCACCACTTACTGTCAGGTTCAGATTCAGCTTTATTCCCTCCTGGGTATGGAGGAGATGGAAGCTCTAG